CAGACACAAACATCTCTACGACATTCCCCGTGTCCGACTAAACCTTTACAAAAATTCAATGTATGTCAAAGGCCCTAAAATCTGGAATACCCTACCTGAGAACTCTAGAACTGCAGACACATTCATCACCTTCAACACTACCATTAGAAAACATCTTATCTCCCTGATACACCCCGTCAACTAACTACACGAATACCACCTGGTGGTTCACACTTACACTCACTCACTCATTTGACCATAAACAGAAATATTAATCTCAGTCTTAAAATAATGAATCCTGTGATACTCCAATACTGAAACTATGGGCTCTGGTGGCCTGGTGGTTAACGCTCTCGCTTCACACGGTGAGGGCCTGGGTTCGATTCCCAGCCAGAGTAGAAACATTGGACGTGTTTCTTTCCACCTGTTGTCTATGTTCCCCATCAGTAAAATGGGTACCTGGGTGTTAGTCGACTGGTGTGGGTCGCATCCTGGGACACTGACCTAAGGAGGCCTGGTCACAGACCGGGCCGCGGGGGCGTTGACCCCCGGAACTCTCTCCAGGTAAACTCCAGGTATGTACTGTGCCAAAACAAAAGCATTCACATTGCTAAACTCACAAACTAGTATTTAGTCACTTAGCCATAATACCAACTTACCTCATAATTTGTAATATTTTACAATTAAGAATAAAACTAAGTATGCCCGAAATGCCTAGCCATGCTAAGCGTTCTAGTGGTACACTCTGTAATCACAATTTTACTACATGTAAACCAAACAATAACCAAATTTCTGTAAACTCAGCATTGTAATCCTTATAGAGAATAAACTTTGAATTTGAATTGAATTGAATTGAATTGAGCTACGCGACACGTGTTGTAACATCCATCGCCAAATCCTCATCCTCCTCACCTTACATTTACTGACAGCCAACTCCAGAGGTTGCTGAACGACGCCTCTGTCTGTACTCGACTGAAGAAGCCTACTGCTAGGCGAAACGTTTGGGAGTAAAGCTACCTAACTGTTTGTCATGTGTCTTATCAACTTGTGAGGTTTTGTAGTGAGGGACCTACATTTTTGGGCCCCTGAAGCTTGAACTGTAAAGGGGGCCCCTTCGCAACTAGCAACAGCTAGGCTTCATTATTATAATTATTATTATTATCAAAACTAAGCTACGCTACATGATACTTTAATTATATTATAATTTATATTTTAACTATTATTTTGTATTGAATTACACTAATATTATTATATTTTAAAACCCCTTCTCATACGGTAGGCCCAAAATTTTGAGCAATGTGGACTGAGTGGCTTCTAGGGCCCCTCAGGGATTAGGGGCTGTGAACGTTGAGCGTCAATAGTGCCTCAGTGTTGTTTGTGCGTCCCCGAGTCTTTATACCTCACCGAACTTCATCTAACTTCACCTAACCTAACCTCACTTAGTCTAACCTAACCTAACTTAACCTAGCCTAACTTCATCTAACCTCACTTAGCCTAACCTCACCTAACCTAACCTCACTTAACCTGATTTAATCTCACCTCCCTTACCTCTGAATAGCTCATTTGCATTGTGGCATGCAAAGAGTACGTACTCTTTATTCGGCACATGTACACACCCTCACTGAAAGGCTATCTCCCCCAACCAGCGAACCAGGGACTAAGGGTTGATGATGGGGCCCCATCGTTCGATCAGTACCCAGGTTCCAGCCAATGAGAAGATGGTTTTGGCAATTGCAGAGGTGTTGTGGGTACCACTCACCTGTCTGCCCTTGTCATTCCCATTCTAGAGCTGGTTGAAACACGGTCTGCTCTCTAGTGGCTTCTATTCTGCCTTGCTTACCGTGGAGTGCACTAATACCTATTGTTGTACGTAGTGTATATAGTGTACATAATTCTGTTCTTACTTCGTGAAGGATAATATAAGCCAAAAGTTTTTCTGCTGTGTTTATTTTGCTCCCTTTACACCCAGGATAACAGGCCTTTGGGACTCCTGGGTTGTAATATGCATATACTGCAAACAGTACAGACCCAGAATTTGCCCCTTGAGAACGTCCACTTGTTGCTTCTATATCCCTGCTGACTCCGCCCCCCTCGCTACCAGAATTTGTCCATCTGTCTGTTTAGGAAAGAACAAAAGGGCACAATACCATTACTGGAACACTACACAAGTTACCCACACATAAGAGAGAGAAACTTATCACGACGTTTCGCTCCCACTTGGATCATTTATAAAGTCAAACTAACAAAAAAAGTGAGGGAGCCAGTATATATATGCGAGGGGGAGAGGGACGGGACCAAGAGAGGAAGAACAAGAAGCATTGGTGGTGGTAATGCTGGTAGTGGAAATAATAGTAGTAGAAAGTAGGGGAGTAGTTTTAATGGTACAAGAGACAGAAAGTAGGGGAGTAATTTTAATGGTACAAGAGACAGAAAGTAGGGGAGTAATTTTAATGGCATAAGAGGCAGAAAGTAGGGGAGTAATTTTAATGGCACAAGAGACAGAAAGTAGGGGAGTAGTTTTAATGGCACAAGAGACAGAAAGTAGAGGAGTAGTTTTAATGGTACGAGAGACAGAAAGTAGGGGAGTAATTTTAATGGTACAAGAGACAGAAAGTAGAGGAGTAGTTTTAATGGCACAAGAGACAGAAAGTAGGGGAGTAGTTTTAATGGCACAAGAGACAGAAAGTAGGGGAGTAGTTTTAATGGCACAAGAGACAGAAAGTAGGGGAGTAATTTTAATGGCACAAGAGACAGAAAGTAGAGGAGTAGTTTTAATGGTACGAGAGACAGAAAGTAGAGGAGTAATTTTAATGGCACAAGAGACAGAAAGTAGGGGAGTAGTTTTAATGGCACAAGAGACAGAAAGTAGGGGAGTAGTTTTAATGGCACAAGAGACAGAAAGTAGGGGAGTAGTTTTAATGGCACAAGAGACAGAAAGTAGAGGAGTAGTTTTAATGGTACGAGAGACAGAAAGTAGGGGAGTAGTTTTAATGGCACAAGAGACAGAAAGTAGAGGAGTAGTTTTAATGGCACAAGAGACAGAAAGTAGGGGAGTAGTTTTAATGGCACAAGAGACAGAAAGTAGGGGAGTAGTTTTAATGGCACAAGAGACAGAAAGTAGGGGAGTAGTTTTAATGGTACAAGAGACAGAAAGTAGAGGAGTAGTTTTAATGGCACAAGAGACAGAAAGTAGGGGAGTAGTTTTAATGGCACAAGAGACAGAAAGTAGGGGAGTAGTTTTAATGGCACAAGAGACAGAAAGAAGGGGAGTAGTTTTAATGGTACAAGAGACAGAAAGTAGAGGAGTAGTTTTAATGGCACAAGAGACAGAAAGTAGAGGAGTAGTTTTAATGGCACAAGAGACAGAAAGTAGGGGAGTAGTTTTAATGGCACAAGAGACAGAAAGTAGGGGAGTAGTTTTAATGGCACAAGAGACAGAAAGTAGGGGAGTAGTTTTAATGGCACAAGAGACAGAAAGTAGAGGAGTAGTTTTAATGGTACGAGAGACAGAAAGTAGGGGAGTAGTTTTAATGGCACAAGAGACAGAAAGTAGAGGAGTAGTTTTAATGGCACAAGAGACAGAAAGTAGGGGAGTAGTTTTAATGGCACAAGAGACAGAAAAGTAGGGGAGTAGTTTTAATGGCACAAGAGACAGAAAGTAGGGGAGTAGTTTTAATGGTACAAGAGACAGAAAGTAGAGGAGTAGTTTTAATGGCACAAGAGACAGAAAGTAGGGGAGTAGTTTTAATGGCACAAGAGACAGAAAGTAGGGGAGTAGTTTTAATGGCACAAGAGACAGAAAGAAGGGGAGTAGTTTTAATGGTACAAGAGACAGAAAGTAGAGGAGTAGTTTTAATGGCACAAGAGACAGAAAGTAGAGGAGTAGTTTTAATGGCACAAGAGACAGAAAGTAGGGGAGTAGTTTTAATGGCACAAGAGACAGAAAGTAGGGGAGTAATTTTAATGGTACGAGAGACAGAAAGTAGGGGAGTAATTTTAATGGTACAAGAGACAGAAAGTAGGGGAGTAGTTTTAATGGTACGAGAGACAGAAAGTAGGGGAGTAGTTTTAATGGCACAAGAGACAGAAAGTAGGGGAGTAATTTTAATGGTACAAGAGACAGAAAGTAGAGGAGTAGTTTTAATGGCACAAGAGACAGAAAGGGGAGTGGAGGGTGAAGGGAGGCAATATTAATGGTTGTAGCAATAGTAGTAGTAATGGAGTGGTAGTCGTTGTAGTAGTAGTAGCAGGGTCAGTCTAAGGACAAGAAAAAGTCTCTCTCTCCAAAGTGCGGGTTATACGTGTATTGTTCCAGTCACGGTATTGTAACTTAAACTCGGTACTGTCCTTGTTCGTGTAAGTTTACAAAAAAAAAAAAACGAAATCGAGCATCAACAGACTCGTTATGTTACTGCATCCCAGCTGATCCAGGAAAACAATAAACAACAACACTTAATAAAAATGTGTTAGGAACAGAGATATCCACTAGCATGTGTGAGAATTTCTTCACCGTCTCTTTACCGGGGCCAGGAGCCGTGACTCGACCCCTGCAAATACAAATAAGTACAGCAACAAGGGTGTCAAAGGTGTGACATGTGTTGAAGCACCTCACCTGTCACTTCAGCAGACATGCTGGAGCAGCATGTCTGCTGAGGTGACGAGGATCACGTCAGGACCACAGTAACCAAGACACCAACAGCCTAACTACGTACACCTAACAAGACTCAGTCTTGTAAACACAACGAAGTAGAAAGTCCTAGTATTATAGCAAAAATCAAAGCCCCACAACCATAGCAACATCAAGGTCCCATCATAGCGACATCTATGTCCCATAATATCAAAATCAATGCCCCATCATTGTGACATCAAAGTCTCATCACCATAACAAAATCGAGGTAGCAGTCACCCTAGTAATATCAAGGTTCCATCAGTATAGCAACGTCAAGACCCCATCACCATAGCAACATCAAGGTCCCATCACCACAGAAACATCAAGACCCCATCACCGTAGTGTCACTACAACTCAAACATACTTTTTCACCGTTACTGTTCCAGTGTTAGTGGAGACCACAAGTGAGCTGTCCAGCGTCACCGTACACCGTCACTGTAAGAAGCACCACACGTCACCATCAAGCACTGTAGTAAGTGCACTGTTGCAGCCTCGACAGCGTCACCATACACCGTCACTGTGAGCAATACAGTGTCTACTCACCATCATGACAGTGTCGTACACACAAAAAGTGTCGGAGTGTCGAGGCTTTGGTTCCTTCTGGCGTCTCTTGTTCAGGTACGTCTTAATTCACGTCTTAATTTACGTTTAATGTACATAACGTTCCTTCCCACCTGTACTCTAGTGTATATAACGTTATATACACTAGAGTACATGTGAGAGGGAACGTTATATACACTAGAGTACAGGTAGGAGGGAATGTTATATAGAGTACAGGACCCTCGTATAGCAGATAAGAATGAAACCTAATGAAGTGTTGATTTCTTGTCAACAGATGGCGTGGTAGTATCTACAAGCTGGTGTGGCCCGACACACTCGTCTACTGTTTCCTCTACTTCATATGTTCCATGGTCTACAGATTTGCTCTTAACGAATACCAGAGGAGGTTGGTCACTGTTGCTAGGATGGTTGGTTACTGTTGCTAGGATGGTTGGTTACTGTTGCTAGGATGGTTGGTTACTGTTGCTAGGATGGTTGGTTACTGTTGATAGTAGGGGTGTTTACCACTGCACAAACAGTAAACACACCTCTTTCTCCTGCCACCAGGATCTTCGAGCATCTCTCCCTCTACTGTGACTACTTCAGGAACCTCATTCCCATCTCCTTCGTGCTGGGTTTCTACGTCAGCGTGGTGGTGGACAGATGGTGGGAGCAGTATCTCAGCATCCCTTGGCCAGATGACTTTGCTCTCCTCTGTGCTGCTTACATCAGAGGCAAGGTGTGTGTGTGTGTGTGTGTGTGTGTGTGTGTGTGTGTGTTGTGTCAAGCATAATAATAACTATAACGGGTTTGTTTGGTAGGTGCTGCAAGCGGTTGGTTAATGATACGTCTTCGGAGGCTTCTTACTTTATTGTTAAGTCATGGTGGGTACACAGGCTTGTGTGTTTGTGCCCATGGCCCAGGCAGGGCCATCCCACGAGAGAGAGCTGGGAGGCCTTGTGTGTTGCTGCCAGGCCGCTGTGTGAGTGAGAGTGAGGCAAGTCTGGGCATACTGAAGTGGCAAGGCCTATAGGTGGCAGCACCAGCATGGCGCAAAATATGAACTAAGCTAGCAGACAGCATGGGCTGTCTGTGCAGACATTACAGGCTGTCTACATATGCTCGGCCACCTACCGTGCGTCGTCCCGACGCGACAATGCTGGTAGTAAAAAAAACTCGGTCTTCTCTCGTAGGAACAGGGCACAGAACACAAAAATAAAACATTATTATAGATATGGACATGGAAAAAAATTTCCCTACAGGGAGGGAAAGAAAAAAACATGGGGGGGTGTGCTAAACATCGTGGTTCAAGGCAGTGAGCGTCGATGGGCATCACTGCACGCCTTCCTGCGTCTGGACAGATACTGCAACACGGGAGACATCGCTGCGGCTGAGCTGTGATGAAACAGGGTACGGTCTCCTCTGGAAACGGTGAAGCAGTCATCTTAGGAGTCGCTGCAGGTTTCACTCAACCTGGGGCACGACATGCTGGTGCCCCCGATCAGGCGTCGACAAAACTCGGCAACGGGGCAGGACTTCTGGCAACGACTCAGGAGGACACTTCTCGACTGGTACTGTCGCTGGGCTGCACTGCCGGGGGAGCGTGGAGCGAGTTGTGGGGGCGAGTCGTGGCAGAGACGACTGGGCGAAACATCTGGGAGTCGTAACATCATACACCAGACTGCAGTGAGAGAGCTAGCAGTCAAAGTGACATCTTCTTTGTGCAGGCTGCTCACTGAAGCTTGTGACACGAGGCTGACACAGTGTGTCATTCTCTCGACAGTTGGAGTTATAGCAGAGGTTAGTCTAAGCGTCCCCAGACTTGTTTCTCTACATATAACTGCATTCTGACGGTCTGGAGGTGAAGGGAAACAAATCTCGATGGGAATCGTAGCAGGTACGATTCTGCAGAACATCACGAGCGACGAGCATAAAAGCTTTCTGTACAAGAGGGCTCGGTCACTCGGGGCTGTCTTGACATCAGCTGTCATACGCACTGGTCACCACTGGTCACACGGGTGACTTAGCACAGTGGTGCTAGTCAGGTCTGGCTCAGACCTCACTGGACACATGGAAACTACACACACCTGCGGTACAACATGGCTTAAACTAGCAAATGATGCTTTTCTGTGCATAAAACTGACACTAAGACATACTAAAATGTGAGAACACTGACTGAGAGGAATTAATTAACACGACATATATCTTCTCTCAATCTTCTCGACAATATTAAAATAATTACTAGAAACACTCGATGTGACATCATTTGATGTCAGGCGTGATGACGTCAGCAGCACTGACGTCAGCAGACATCTCGAGGTGACGTCAGCAGGCATCTCGAGGTGACGTCAGCAGACATCTCGAGGTGACGTCAGGCAGACATCGTGAGGTGACGTCAGCAAACATCGTGACGTCATGAAGTCGGGCAGCATCGTGGGTGACGTCGATGTGATGCTGGCAGCAGACCACAGCATGTGGCCTTGGGACATCTGGTAACTCACGTAGCTCGTAGGTCTATGTGACATCGCCCACATCCACGTGGCGTCGTGATCCACGTGGTGTCGTGATCTACGTGGCATGCTGGTCCACGTAGCGGGCACTCGGATACACAGCTCTGGCAATGAATCACACGAAAAACAGCAGAAAACACAGCAGAGTGGGCAGTGGTGAGTGTATGGTAGTGTGGTGGCGAGGAGCATGGGTGAGTGTATGGCAGGGGAGCATCTGGCCATTCCTCCTCCTCCTCCACCCACAAACACGTGGAGAAGCTCACACTGGATGCAGAAATCACCACAAAACTCACCTCTGGCTTGCTGAAACAGCTGTGCTGAGCTGAACAACAACAGCAGCAACATACAAGTGACGCTGAACACGTGACTTGAGAAACAGCGTGGGACACTAGCGTGGGACGCTGTAGCGTGGGGTCACTGTGACGCCACTCACAATTCTCGAAGAATTTCGACAAATTTCGGCTGGATCCTGCTTGTACCTGTGTCTGGATGCTCAAAAGTGCAGACACGACATCAGGATAACTCGTTGAGAGACGGATGCTTCTTGTATGGGATGATGAAGTGAAGATGACTTCATACCTCTCCTTCCTCTCTCCAGGGTAAACACAACTGCTGCGACCACCGCTGGTACCATTTATAAAAAGGGATTTGTTTGGTATTCTGGTAGTGGGTGGTTAATGATACGTCTTCGGAGGCTTCTTACTTTATTGTTAAGTCATGGTGGGTACACAGGCTTGTGTGTTTGTGCCCATGGCCCGGGCAGGGCCATCCCACGAGAGAGAGCTGGGAGGCCTTGTGTGTTGCTGCTAGGCCACTGTGTGAGTGAGAGTGAGGCAAGTCTGGGCATACTGAAGTGGCAAGGCCTATAGGTGGCAGCACCAGCATGGCGCGAAATATGAACTAAGCTGGCAGACAGCATGGGCTGTCTGTGCAGACAGTACAGGCTGTCTACATAACTATAACAATAATATAATTTTAGTAATAATAATACTAATACTAATAATAATAATTACAATAATAATAACAGCAATAATAACAACAGCAATAATAATAATAATAATAACAATACTGCTACAACTTATAATAATAATAATAATAATAATGTAACCCCAGTAACGCCTTGTAAATTTTAGCATGGAACACCTCGGGCGATAAGGGCGACGGTACTACGCTATGTCAACCTGACTTGCCTCCTTACCTTCACTAACATCTCTCCCAAGGTCCTGAAGAAGTTCCCTACTTACAGGGAGATTATCAGAGCAGGTGAGAGAGAGAGAGAGAGAGAGAGAGAGAGAGAGAGAGAGAGAGAGAGAGAGAGAGAGAGAGAGAGAGAGAGAGAGAGAGAGAGAGAGAGAGAGAGAGAGAGAGAGAGAGAGAGAGAGAGAGAGAGAGAGAGAGAGAGAATCTTCAAGTCTACCTTGTTTATATTTCTTAATAAGGAAGACTAAGAAGAGAGTACAGAATTCCAGTTAATGCATCAATACTCACATCAATGAACCCACAAACTCCTTCCATCTATCCTTCTAATTCTATCCATCTACATCAATCTACTGACGTAAGCTCCTGCTCCTCCCTGTCTCCTGCAGGCTACGTCACTCCAAACGAGGTAAGAGTCCTGCAGCAGCAGGAGAGAGTGACCAGTGCGGCACTGTCGACACTGCCCCTGATGTGGTCTTGCCAGCTGATGGAGAGTGCCAGGACCTCCGGCTACGTCAGGAATGACTACGGTCTCAACCTCTTGCTCAGCGAACTCACCAGTCTGCGCAGCAAGGCCGGGATGCTGGTGCGCTGGACGGATATCAGTGTCCCCCTGGTGTATACCCAGGTGAGTCAGGGGATAAGGGTAGGGAATAATGGTATAAAATACTGACAAGTTGATGATTAAGACATATGCGTACCAGCTGGGTATCTTTATTGATGTAACGTCTCACCTTCACAGTAGGTTTCTTCAGTCAAACACAGAGGCAGCACGTGTAGTAGTGAGATAAAGATGAGGTAATCTTTTGTATATAGTTCTGCTGTTTTTACAATTATGATCTTGAGTTTGTATTGATAAAGCCACTGGATGGCGACAGATGTTGCACATGTGTCTAATTTTCACCATTCATGTTGCAAATGTGTGTTGCACATGTTGCAGGTGGTGACGATGGCAGTGTACTCGTTCTTCTTCTTCTCCGTGCTGGGTCGACAGTTCCTGGACCCGGCCCAGAACTACACCAACCGCACCATTGACTTCTTCGTACCCATCTTCACACTCCTTCAGTTCTTCTTCTACATGGGGTGGCTCAAGGTGGCCGAGTCCCTCGTCAACCCTTTCGGAGAAGATGACGATGACTTCGATTTGGATCTCATACTCGAGCGCCACCTCAAAGTTAGTGTCGGAATACCAACCCCCTTAATAATAATAATAATCTTTATTTCTACAAGTACATGATATAACTTAAATTCCGAAGTCATAGCAAAGAAAAAAAAATTCTTTCTGCTTATTTGAAAAGAGGACAATTTTCAAATTATTGTTTACAAATGCGAGTACATATGTTGAGTCCATAAAGTGTGTGAAGGTAGAATATTGTGAAGTTAAACACAGTAAACTCAGTGAGTATTACCCTGCAGATGTCTTACCTGCTGGGTGACGTGACTCCTAGCGAGGACCCGCTGAATCTCGGTGACCTGTGTTGGGACAAGGTCATCACGGAGGTCTATGAAAGGTCAGCCAATGACCTGGGTCACTTAGCGAGTCGGGAAAACCTCAAGCATCGCCCTACCAGGAACTACTGTCAAGGCGGCCAAGAATTTTCCGATTTCAAGAGTGGCTTGGGCCAGGATAACCTGACTTATGACCTGGGTCGAGGTGACCTGGGTTATGACCTAGGTCGAGGTGACCTGGGTTCATCAGAGTGTTCCAGGTCGGGGATCAGTGACTTAAATCGTCAGGAGAGTTGCAGTGTTCCCTGGAAGGTGACTGATATGACTTGTCTTCCAGTTATGTCTGCCTAATAACCTAAGACACACAGTGGCTTCATCAGTCCAATACAGAGAAGAATGGTTGAATGTCAGAAGGACTTTGAGGTAATCAGTCTCTCAGCCTGTAGTCGATGCAATCAGTCCATCAATATGATTAAGGGACTGATTACTTCAAACTTCTTCCGATCTTCACCATTCTTCTCTGTATTGGTCTGATGAAGCCACATGTGCCTAATTTATCAACTTGTCAGTTCACTGAACCATTTGTCTACACTTATGTCTACGCACTTGAACTTATATACTTGTGTTAAGTAAGACACAAGTGCAACAGTTAGGTATCTTTATTCCGAAACTTCTCGCCTACACAGAAGGCTTCTCCAGTCGAGTACAGAGGAAGGAGAATAAGACACGAGCCCAACCCTTGGGTTTCTTTACCGCTGGAACGTTTCGCTCGTACAACAGTGTGTTATGCGGGCGAAACTGAAGGTATATGTTGAGGCAAAACGTGTCTGATGACTGTTTAAAGAATGATGTTTTTTTTTCAGATAGAAACGAGAGCAACTGAGCAGCGTGTGAGAGATAATGATCCAGCTCTACCCTCCCCAGGTATCTCTCTCTCTCTGTCACACACACACACACACACACACACACACACACACACACACACACCAGGCAGGCGGGGCCAGGAGCTATGAATCGACCCCTGCAACCACAAATAGGTGAGTACTGAAGGACAGGGAGGGCATGATAACACTGGAGTACAGGAGAGATAGAGGGGACATGATAACACTGGAGTACAGGAGGGATAGAGGGGAAATGATAACACAGGAGTACAGGAGGGATAGAGGGGACATGATAACACTGGAGGACAGGAGGGATAGAGGGGACATGATAACACTGGAGGACAGGAGGGATAGAGGGGACATGATAACACTGGAGGACAGGAGGGATAGAGGGGACATGATAACACTGGAGGACAGGAGGGATAGATGGGACATGATAACACTGGAGGACAGGAGGGATAGAGGGGACATGATAACACTGGAGGACAGGAGGGATAGGATAGACATGATAACGACATATAAAACACTGAGAGACATAGACGAGGTGGACAGAGACAGGATGTTTCATAGATGGGACACAGCAGCAAGGGGACACAGTTGGAAGTTGAAGACTCAGATGAATCACAGGGATGTTAGGAAGTATTTCTTCAGTCATAGAGTTGTCAGGAAGCGGAACAATCTGAGAAGTGTGGAGACAGGATCCATACATAGCTTTAAGAAGATGTATGATAAAGCTCATGGAGCAGGGAGAGAGTGGTCCTATTTATGGTTGCCGACTCGACCTTTGCAACCACAAATAGGTGCAGGTGTGTCCTCCTCTTCCTTGGATCAAACGTGGCTGCCTCTCATTCCCATAGAAGTCGTATGACCAATATGAATTTAGCTGTTTTTCAGGATAATAATAATAATAATAATAATAATAATAATAATAATAATAATAATAATAATAATATTATTATTATTATTATTATTATTATTATTATAGTAATAACAGAAATAATAATGTAATAATAACAGTAATAACAATAATTGTAATAATAATAATAATAATAATAATAATAATAATAATAATAATAATAATAATAATAATAATAATAATAGTAATAGTAATAATAATAATAAAATAATAATAATCTTAATTTCTGATCGGTATGCCATTGGTAATGAGTGACGATGTTTTGACAGGAGCGAAGAGAGTGGGCAGCAGTGAGGGCACTGTCAGGAGAGGCACTGTCGGGAGAGGCACTGTCGGGAGAGGTACTGTCGGGAGAGGTACTGTCAGGAGAGGCACTGTCGGGAGAGGCACTGTCAGGAGAGGTACTGTCGGGAGAGGCACTGTCGGGAGAGGCACTGTCAGGAGAGGCACTGTCGGGAGAGGCACTGTCAGGAGAGGCACTGTCGGGAGAGGCACTGTCAGGAGAGGCACTGTCGGGAGAGGTACTGTCGGGAGAGGTACTGTCGGGAGAGGCACTGTCGGGAGAGGCACTGTCGGGAGAGGTACTGTCGGGAGAGGTACTGTCGGGAGAGGCACTGTCGGGAGAGGTACTGTCGGGAGAGGTACTGTCGGGAGAGGCACTGTCGGGAGAGGCACTGTCGGGAGAGGTACTGTCGGGAGAGGTACTGTCGGGAGAGGCACTGTCGGGAGAGGCACTGTCGGGAGAGGCACTGTCGGGAGAGGCACTGTCGGGAGAGGTACTGTCGGGAGAGGTACTGTCGGGAGAGGCACTGTCGGGAGAGGTACTGTCGGGAGAGGTACTGTCGGGAGAGGCACTGTCGGGAGAGGTACTGTCGGGAGAGGTACTGTCGGGAGAGGCACTGTCGGGAGAGGCACTGTCGGGAGAGGCACTGTCGGGAGAGGTACTGTCGGGAGAGGTACTATCGGGAGAGGCACTGTCGGGAGAGGTACTGTCGGGAGAGGTACTGTCGGGAGAGGCACTGTCGGGAGAGGTACTGTCGGGAGAGGCACTGTCGGGAGAGGCACTGTCGGGAGAGGTACTGTCGGGAGAGGCACTGTCGGGAGAGGCACTGTCGGGAGAGGCACTGTCGGGAGAGGCACTGTCGGGAGAGGCACCCCTGGTCGTCATGTACTCGAGCGGTACTCTGCAGCTGTTGGTACTCTGACTACTCTCTGAACCGGTGACTGAGTACCTCCGCTACCACCCTTAGTAACCTGCAGGTGTGGTTAATTAACAAGGTGTGGTTAACTGAGGTGCGGTTAATTAACAAGATCAGGTTAATTTACAGGGTCAGGTTAATTTACAGGGTCAGGTTAATTTACAAGATCAGGTTAATTTACAAGGTAAGGTTAATATGCTGAATTAATATCATTTGACAAGGTTAAATTTAAAAACAATGGTTTTTAACATAAAACAACACAAAATATTAATGATGATGATGATGATGATGATAATAATAATAACAGTAAATAATAATAATAATAATAATAATAATAATAATAATAATAAAATTTTTAACTCACTACAGAAATACCAACTTTCCTCCCTACATAATCCCTTCTAACATCAGCCAACATTTTAAACTTATTCCTTTCTAACATCATAACCCCTTCCTCCCTCCCCACCATTAAATTTCACTCTGATAAAATATAAAACACACCTTCCACTCATCATGAAAAAACCCTTTCTCCTCTAAACAATTTCCCGACACTTGTGGAATATATAACACTATAAAATAAATTATAATAAAATATATAATAAAATATAAATATATAATAATAATAAATTATAATAAATAAAAATAAAATTTAATTAATCAAAATAAAATTTATATAATATAATAAAAATATACACACACAAAAACAAAACATAACACTACAAACGAGGCATTAAGACTAAAAAAATCATTTAAAATTCTCTTCAAAATCTTAGAATACAAATTATTTTTTACATACCAAACATTAAAACAAAACGAAAAACAAAACTAAAACATAAAAAACTTTAATAAAAAAAATAGAATTAAAAACAACACAATTTTTTAATCCCAATTATAACTAACACTACAAATACCAACATTATAAAAACACTACAAATTTCCAACATTATAACAAACCCACTACAAATACCAACTTTATAACAAAACACTACATAATACCACATTATAACTAACACTACATAATACCAACATTATAACTAACACTACAAATCCCAAAACATTATAACTAACACTACAAATACCAACATTAAAACTAACACTACAATAAACCATTATAACAACATACATAATACCAACTTTAAATAATAACACTACATAAAAACCAACATTAAAAACTAACACTACAGAATACCAACTTTTATAACTAACACTCAGAAATACCAACTTATAACTAACACTACAGAATACCAACATTATAACTAACACTACATAATACCAACATTATAACTAACACTACATAATACCAACATTATAACTAACACTACATAATACCAACATTATAACTAACACTACAAATACCACTTATAACTAACACTACAAATACCAACATTATAACTAACACAAACATAAAAACCCAACATTATAACTAACACTACAAATCCCCAACATTATAACTAACACTACATAATACCAAAACATTATAACTAACACTACAGAAAAAAACATTATAACTAACCTACAAATAACAACATTATAACTAACATACAAATACCACATTATAACTAAAAATACAAATACCAACACAATAAAATTATTAAATGTATTAAAGGTAGAAGTTTTTCAGTTATTTGTGAGTTAAACCTCGTCTCTAAATCTTGATTTTTTTGTAAGTGTTAAAAGAATTATTGATATGATTATTATTATTATTATTAAATATTCGCCGGTATTCTCCCGCCCGGGTCCTTTCCAAGTGGTGGCCCGGCTTGTCCCTCTTTAGGGAGTGTCTGAGACCTAAGTCTCCCATGGGAGGAGGCACAAGTACCTCCTCATCTTGGGACCAACTGTCCCCAGGCCTAGCCACAAGCTAGGCCTCTCTGGTCTGCCATCCCACCCCGGGGGCAATGGGGAAAGACAGTCTTTGAGCTAAAGGCTCGGGCTCAGGCACTACCCTACCCTAGAAAGGGGTTAGGCATGGTGTCAAATCTTATATTGAATTTTTTCCTTATATACATTATAAGTAATATATATATAAAATATATATATATATATATATATATATATATATATATATATATATATATTAATTTTATATATATATATATTATATATATAAAATATATATATATATATATAATAAAAAGCACTGGTCTTGTTACAATAAATTTGTAAAAAATAAACGATGTATTAATGTCCAATAAGTCAGAGTTTGTGGGTGGAAACGTGTGTGACGATGTTTCGGCGTGAAACATGACGGGGTGAGACTTGTTCAGTTGTTGTAGCCACTGTACTGCTGAAGGTGAGGTCTGGGTGCTGGTGAACACTGTCTGAAACTGACTAGTTAACACACACTGTCTGAACACTGACTATGTGGAAAAACAACTGTCTGAACACTGCTAGTGTGAAACCCCACTGTCTAAACACTGACTAGTTGAACACACAGTTGAACATGACT